ACTTCATATGCACATATTAATAAAGAAAACCGTAGAAAATTGGACAAGAAGAGTGAACGTTTGGGTCTTGTTGGATATGCTCCAAATGGATATCGTCTTTGGAATAATGTAAAAAGAAGAATTATAATTTCAAGAGATGTCGTGTTTGATGAATCTATGTCTTTTTTCATCAGTTGTGATCGAACGGATGCTCAAAATAACCAATTTGAAGACAACGTGGCAGATTTGCCGGTTGTAGAGGTTTTTGATACGTGTGATCAAACTGGAATGAACTTTATAACTGAAAATGATGATAACAGTGTGATATCTTCAGAAGAATTCGAGGAAGCCATATCGGATTCTGAACCAGACTAGGATGAAAATGAAACGGTGTTACGCAGAAGCTAGAGGAATTCAAGAGTTCCAGGTTGGCTGAATGAATACGAGACTAATTTTTTAGCGATCAATTGTATTGATAATATTCCACAAAACATCAACGAACTCAAGAAACGTGACGATTGGCCAATATGGAAGGATGCTATCGATGAGGAGTTACAGTCTTTATATGAGAACAACACTTGGACGTTAGTTGGCAGTGTTCCAAATGGAAGAAAAGCCATTAACTCAATGTGGGTGTTCACGATAAAGATTAATGATAATTTACATCGATATAAAGCACGTCTTGTGGCAAAAGGTTGTTCACAACGTCCTGTAATGGATTTTTGTGAAACTTTTTCGCCAATGGCCAAAATGACTAGTGTTCGTACACTTTTGTCAGTCGCTGTACAAAAGAAGTGGATTATCCATCAAATGGATGTGAAAACAGCTTTTCTGAATGGTTTTCTTGAAGAAACCATTTACATGCGACTACCTAATTTGGACAATGAAGATGATAAAATATGTAAGTTAATCAAGAGCATTTATGGGCTGAAACAAGCCGGAAGAAGTTGGAATCTTAGATTTGATCAAACAATGACAGATATGGACTTCAAGAGACTAAACAGTGACTCGTGTGGTTATGTATGTAAGAACAGAAAAATCATAATTATCTTGTATGTTGACGATATTTTGATTTTTGGGTAAGATCTGGACAATATTTTTTGGGTTAAGAATGAACTTTCCAAACATTTCAAAATGAAGGATCTGAATGAGGAAAATAATTTCCTCGGTTTGGATATTCATTATGATGCAGTTGTTGGAAAAATGACTTTGTCTCAAGAGTCATATATTGATAAAGTTCTGGATAGGTTTTGTATGTCTGATTGCAACCCGGTTGCCATCCCTATGGATCCTAATGTCAAATGGAAGAAGTCAACTAATCAGACAAAAGGACCTTATAAGGAATTACTTGGATATCTTCAATACCTAGCCTTGATTTCAAGGCCTGATATAACCATTTCAGTTGGAATTCTCAGTCAATTTCAGAGTGAACCTGCAGAGGAACATTGGACGGGACTGAAGCGAATTCTCCGATACCTTAAAGGCACGAAGAAGGCACGGATGATATACGAAAGATACACCAAGGCGATGGCATTGATCGGATACGCGGATGCCGATTTTGCGAACGACGAAGAAGGCCGTAAATCGAACTCTGGCAGCATGTTCATGGTGTATGGGAACACTGTGTCCTGGAGCAGCAAACGACAACAGATAGTGACTCTTTCATCAACAGAAGCAGAATTGGTTTCACTTTGCAATGCTTCTAAGGAAGGGATATGGTTGTCTCAACTATTGAGTGAGATTGGAATTCTGTCGATTCCATTCACTATATTTGAAGATAACATACCCTGTATTAGAATTGCAGAGGAGCCAAGGGAACATCAGAGGACGAAGCACATAGATGTAAAATTCATGTACATCAGGGAACAGATTAAAGAGAAAAAGCTCATAGCTAAATATGTTCCAACAAACGATCAAATCGCTGATTTTCTAACCAACCCCCTAGTAAGAGCTAAGTTAGATGGATTCATGAAAATGATAAAAATGCAAAATTGAGGGGAAGTGTTGAAATTCAATTTTCATTTATAGTATAGATTCTATTCTTTTACTCAGGTTGTCTCTTTCACAACCATAAGCAGATTCAATCCCAAGTAACAATCTAAATGCTTGGAAGATTTATTCTTATTTTATCATTGTTTTATCATAGCATCCCTTCCAGCCTGTGGTTGTATTACGGTTTTGTGTGCTTGTCATAAAATCAGGCCGTCAAGTCGTCTATAAAACTGTTTTATGACTACTAAATTAAAACTCAGACTTCATAGTTTTAACGGTAGCTGTAAGGTGGTTCTGCATCACTACTTATAACTGAAGAATAAAACCAAAACAAAACATACAATTATGTTTTATGGTACACTTTTTATGACCGATATAAAACTTGAAGCAGTCTTAGACCTTCATTAAAGCTTCATTACAACTATCATCTTTATCAGAGGCCTAAGATTCACAGATAAGAAATATACTGCTACAACAAAAAATACTCTGAAATTTTTTGTAATTATAAAAAACAAATCTATTCAGATATATCAAATGAAAACCCCTTCAGTGCTTCTGAACACGATGAAGATGAGACGATCGACAATATGAAACTCCTGGAGGAACTACAGTTATACGATCCCTACATAAGGCACAGTGCGGTGAAGGAGCTCTTAAAAATATTGAACAAGCGGCTTTCCGATACACTTCCGAAAGATCCACGAACCCTTCTTAAAGCAACGCCGACAGTTTCACTAAATCCGTTTGGAGATGGCCACTATTGACATCACGGCTTTAAACCTTGTATTGAAAAAGCTTTTAGTGGATCCAATAAGCATTTCTTACATCTTGATTTCAAGCGAAAATAGGAGGATCGCTTGGAATGTTGACTTTTTGACAGGTGGTCATGGTTTTTGTTTTGTTTTGATTCGCTGTACCGAATAAAACCAGCAAGCTAGTTATATAGCTTAAATATAACTTAACGCTCTCAATTCGGACTACGGAATGCTAAGATACAACCATTAGGTTTATTTTATGCTATAGAATTCCAATCTAGGAGAATATGTTATATTGAGGTATTTTTAAGGAGTAGCAAGTTATAACGAAAAAAAATGTCGCCGTATGAACAAATTTCACACAGTATGAATAATTACGCTTTAATTGATAGGCAATAAAACACTTTCATACATCTATGTATAATTAAATAATATGTGACTGGTTATTGCTCAACAGTAGTAAAAGTTTTGTACTAAATAGATAATCTTTGAATGACTCTTTAATGCATGGTGCTAATGCAGACAAATTAAAAATATCCCTATATTTTAGTATTCATATGGTGCACTAAATTTATGCTCCTATTTGGTATAATAATCACCATAAATATTGCACGGCATGCTGTGAAGCATATACAGATTGGTTTAAAATTACAATAAAGTCGTCTTATTTTCAATGTACAATAATATCAGCCATTATTACCAACTGACAAGGATCATGATTCCACATCAAACATCGAAAGAATAAAACCACAATAAAATATTTCTCAATATTAACTATCATCCAAAAACCCCAACTTAAAACCTTCAAAGTTGTCAAAATGTTTTGCGTATCATGTTTTATCAACTTCTTCAGGAGCGATTTATGCGGTTGTAATATAGTTTTATGGTAGTCATTAGAAGGCTGTTAAAACTTTCTGACCTGGAGGAGGTTTTATGTTTTCATTTTTAACAATCACGTCTAGAGTGTGATAAAACTGACATAAATCCTATGCTCCTAAAGTAGTTCGCATATCAAGTTTTAATAACTGCATTAAAACTGGGCCAATTGGCCATGACATGGCTGTATTGCGGTTCTCAGGAGATTGTTAAAGCAATGTGGTCGTCAGTGAAGGTTTTATAATTTGGTTATATCAACTGCTATAAAACTTAAATAAAACAAAAATTGTTGCTTGGGATGTTCTCTCATTAGAGCCATTTCGCTCTCGCTAGCTCAGGTCTCTATTAAGTGTTTCCGAAGCTGAATGAGCCTAGTGTAATCTGTCTATTAGTTATCGATAGATCAACTTGTTATCAGATAATTAGTAGGGGAATCATAACATATCAATGTAACCTTTATGCAGTACTGAATTCTTATTAAATAAATAGTTTTATTGATGGTCTAAGAATTCTGTGTACGTTTTTGTTTCCGAGAGGTAATGTTTATCTTAGGAAATTGCATGAGAGAAACCCTTTTTGATTCTTCAGCTGGGTTGGAGGAAGTCAGGCTTATCTGACTCTTTCCTCGTCCACTCTGGTTGGCTGTCATACTTGGAGGAAGTTTTTCCTCAAGTACTGTTACGGCACTCCACTTGCGTTCGAACTTCCAACACATGTTCCGGTCATACATACTATGACATACTATGTGTGATTGTAATACAAAAGTGTAAGATCGTAATCTCATCAACCACTGCCTCAAAATGAAAGGTATTGTGGTACCATAGAACGGCTTTTAATATTGTTAGAGTTGGTCCACTGGATCCAGAGATATGACCGGAACATGCTCAGATGAATATGGGTTATGAGACTAGAATCGACCTGAAGCGTGTCAAACCCATCTTGTGCCAATACATTGAAAACAAAACCAACGGATTCAAAGTGAGTGCCCATGACTACAATTACCACTTCTGGAGATGTTACTTACCTTGTGGCAATTTAAAGGTTCTTTAAAGTATCTACGCTATGCCATTATGGTCTAGTTGTAGCACTACAAAAAAAAACACACACACCCACTGGTAACATTAACCATACGGAGAAGTAGCAGAAAGCGTACGAAGAAGAGGCCCGGATCGGTCTAGGAATTTGCCGGGTTGGAAAATGTCTCGACTTCCCTAGGCATAGAGTATGATTGTACTTGCCTTGCTACACAATTATGCTGATGCAAAAATGGTACAGGCATCGGAAACTTTCAATTAATAAGCTTGAAATGCGAAGAAGAAGAAGAAGAAGAAGAAGATCCTGCTTAAAACAACATGTTTAACTCACTCACCTTCAAAACTATCCAATACCTGCTTCCAGATTGCCCTAATCGCTTCTACAGTAACGATGTGTCCAGTGCCCTGGGATTTTACATACTAGGAGGATTGCGAGCATTTCGTAGTGAGTTTCCCCACGTGGTAAGTGTCTTAGTTTTAGACAATGCTAAGAATGAATTCAATAATAACTATTTTCGCAAAAGGTTGTGATTGGGTGGACAAATAATCTAACCGGGAGAGTGGACTACGGTTGTGGTGGATCGCTAATATCTTCTCGGTATGTCATCACGGCTGGCCATTGTGGGTTTGACGATAGGAGGTTTGTAATTCTCTTGATAGGAATGTATTTTTTTTATTATTATTAATTATTTGTATTTTCTAATGCTAGCGTTCCCCCGGATATGGTTCGAATGGGGGACACCAATCTCGCCTCGACAGAAGATGATGCCTATGCTCAGGATATTAAAATACGCAGTTTCATTGCACATCCAAACTACAAACGATCTCAGAAATACTACGATATCGCACTGATCGAGCTAGAGCGGGAGGCAAGGCTGGATGTTTCGGTGTGTCCCATTTGTTTGTGGACAACAGACAATATTCAACAGTTCACCGGTCGCCTCCAGGTGGCAGGTTATGGCGTTACTGACTACGGTGAGTATGTATAAGAGGGAAATAGTGAATTGAATACGTTTAACCACCAAATTGATTTCTCAGCATCCGATCAAAGTCCAACGCTGCAGAAAGCTACGTTGAACTATTACGATTACGAAACTTGTAACAGCATGCTACCACGACCGAGATCGCTTTTCCGAGGCCTCTCGTCGGATCAGTTTTGTGCGAAAACACCGAAGAAGGACACCTGTCAAGGAGACTCCGGTGGTCCGATTCAAGTTGAACTGTCGGACGTCAATAAAGCGATACCGTTTTTGGTCGGGGTGACTTCATTCGGGACGGGATGCTGGGATGGATCGTTCGGAGTTTACACCAAGGTATCAAGCTACGTGGGCTGGATTAGGTCAATCGTAAACGTCACCGTTGATCCTTTGGGTGAGATTAAAAGCAAGCTGTTGAAATGGTTGAAATTGTTACATTTGACTTTTACAGAATGTGCTCGCCAATCACAGTGCTTGTCTTCGAGGAAATTCTCGGATAGCCGAATTTCACCGCAGAATAATTCACCTTTCTTTCGGGTATGTATTAGAGCTAATCTGGATTCAGAGGTGGGTGTTTATAAGCACTCCTGTTTCAGGTCCAACTCAACCGCGACGGCAAAAGCTTCAATCAATGCAGTGGAGCCCTGATCGACTACCGGCATGTGGTAACTTCTGCCAGCTGCACTAAACATAACAATCTGGAACCGACTCAAATACTGGCGAACGATGAACTGATCAACATCACCGAAATCAACCGTCATCCTCTGTACGTTCCTGGAAAGCGGTACCACGACATTGCCGTGTTACGATTGGACAAATTCTACAACCCGGAAAAGATCTACCAAATCGTTGCCCCGGCTTGTATCTGGAGAAAGGACAAAATTCCGGAACCAATCGTGTTCTATTCTGCGTACGGACCGGATACGTCTAGAGAATTGACAGCGCAAGTATCGAATGTCCCTCTGAAGATCCTCACGGCGTTCTTCCTAGACAATGGACGATGCAATGACAACTACAGCGCCCAGTTCAGAAGTCAACTACCCGGTGGTTTCAATGGGGATTTCGTTTGTGCGGAGAATCCCGTTGCCCTTGTTCCGGGTATTTGCAAACTGGAACCTGGAGGGCCCATTTCCAACTTCCGACGAGACAATGTAATCCCCTATGTTTATGGAATAAACACTCTCGGTGAGGAATGTGGAGGAACCGGCAATCTATTCGTTGCTACTCGAATATCATCTTTTTATGATTGGATCGAGTCAATTGTACTGAACCGAACGGAAAATGCTGTGAACTCCCGGATCGATTATGATGACATTAATAGTATTAATGCAGTGAATCGTGGTAGCTTTCCCTACGAGAGTCAGCTTGGTAATATTGACAAGTTGGTAATAAATAAAATGTATACATGAACTTGTTTTATTCACAGTGTCCTTCGTTCTACCAGGATTGATAGCTACTGATAAACGGTTGAGACCGTATGGAAATCGATTGGTTCCAGGCGGACTAACACCATTAGCTACCGCTTCCAGTGAGTATTCAATCATAATTAGAATTTTACCATGTTTCAGATTTATTTTTATTTTCAGTTCATCATAATCTACAAGAAGATGACGATGACGAACCATTGATGCTGACAATCTACGGTACACAATTAAATCACATCCCCTCTGGAACGGATGATATCCTCCAAACATTGCGTTCAATTCCCATTCAACACCACCAACCGTCATCCAACAATGTGGGAATTGTCAAATCATCGGAGCTCGATGTCCCACAGTCAAGCCGCGTAATAACTATTCACCAGCAACCAACAGTCTATAGCTCACGTTCACAAACTCCCTCGTCACCAGCACCTACGCTAGTGCAACTTTGGCCCAAGCCTTACATAACTCCCTTGATCAACAGTATTCACTATCAACCGACACCGGTACAACGGCGATTACCGGTTAATCCATTTCCCAGCCCAGCGTCATCGTTCAGTATAGTGAAGTCAATTGAACTCTATCCGGGTGGTCATTGCACCCTCAGCTCTGGGCAGACCGGAAGATGTGTGCACCACAGCCACTGCGAGGGTGCGAGTGCGAGTGGTTTATCCTACTGCAATTACGAGCTGCTGACGGTTTGTTGTCCAGGTTTTTGAATAAGTAAAATTGATATTGACTGATTGAGGTTCGCTGGAATGCAAAAATACTCAAAGCGTACTATGAAGGTAAAAAGTTTGGAGTTTTTTTTTTATTATCAAAATCGAAAGCTGTTGTTGTACACAAATAAATATAAGGACACATCAAAAAGTATGGCGCCTACCAATTTTAAGAATCAAAGAAATTCTAAATCATTTAAGAAGCCACATTATCGTGCTACAATATGAGCGTAATACCACGGATACACTTGTATGACAATCTATGAACATGAGCATTATTTGTATAATATAATTTGAGCACATCCATAGTCACACTTGTATAGTTTTTGTATAGTTGTTGTTTACTGCCCTGTGCGGCTTAACAGTCCCATTAGCATTTCTAGCGAAAATGAGTTATACATTAGAATCGTTGACAATACCATCACTTTACAATGTACTCGATAAGTTTCCTACTTTGATTTGAAAATGTTGCTAAAAATACCAAAACTATGTTGTCCAATCCACAAGAGCCCATAGCGTAAATTATCTACAACAGCGTTTTTCTCAGCTTGCTATTTTAACGAATGGGACAACTATGCTGAAAAGAGCAGTATAGTGCTAATAATTACTATACAAATAATGCCCAAGCTCATAGTTTGTCATCCAAGTGTATCCACGGCATAAGAATGAATCAATTGCATCATGTACATACAGTGTATCTCAAAATTGTGCGCACAACTGTCCGTACATTTCAGAAAAAAAACAGCTGTACGAGCTTAAAAAGATAGATTTCTAATTTTTTGGCTACTGGCTCATTTGGCTTATTTGGATGAGTGTGTAGGAAGTTAGAGCTATTTTAGAAAAACCGCTAAAAATGCCGCTAATTTTACTAAAATCCGTCTACTATGAAAAAACTTGAAAACCGACTTACAAATAGTATAGTAATAATTATTGTGGCACCCAAGAAATCAAAGAGTTAGTTTAAATAATCATTATACTTTATTTTTGAAAAAAAAAATTACGAAGATTGAATTGGTAGATGTTCTTCAAATACAAGAAAATCATTGGTTGAATCGATGATCACCAAGGAGATACATATATTTATGGGTTTTTCGAGCTAGCTTTTGTGTATTCATGTCGACAAGTTGGTGAAATTGGCCGTATTGCAAACCGTGGGTTGCTTTGGTGCATCTCAAAAACTTCGTTATGATGCACCTCAAAAACTTTGATTTGACTGGTGATGTTGCACAATTAGCACAACACCGCTCTGATATGCAGAGGAAGCTCAACGACCGAATGCTCATCTGTGGCTGGTCTCACCGATGTCAACATGGACAACCCATCCTATTTTACAGCAGCAGGGCAAGCAGTGGGGAAAGTCAAAAGTTTCCAATATATTGTCAGCCAGTTAGCGTCAGACGGTGGTACCAACAGCAAAATAGGTACACGAATCAATGAAGGCTAAAATCACATAAGTCTACGCTGAGAAATAGTGAGAGCCCTTGGCAAAACAGGAGAGTGGCATCATTTCTGAATTATTTAAATTTGTTAAAAAAGAAGAAAGCGCTGCTGCAATCGTGCTTTATTTGCTGCTCTCACATTCTCTTTATTTAACTCTTTAATTGTTCCAAATTTAAAATAAATTACATTTAATTTTAACCTAGGTGCTCCAGCCACTACAGTAACTTACCAGCCTAATATCTAAGCGTTTTTACATTGTTCCTGCCTTGCCAATTCAGTATTTCAAACAGGTTTTGTATACCTGCATGTCAGTATAACAATTGACATCTTAAAACTGAAAATTAAAACTTAATTTTATCTAAGTATGAATTAATCGTTGCCATTGAGGATTGCAATGATTTTTTGCCTGAAATTATTGATTATTTTGTTGGAAATTTGTTGTAAAGCCTCAACATTCGAGATTCTATGTACCTCGGTAGTACTGTACCAGGGAGGCAACTTCAAAATCATTTTCAGAACTATGTTCTGAATCCTTTGAAGTGCGTTTTCCTGGTAGTGCAACAACTAGACCACATTTACACAGCGTAAAGCATGGCCAGTCTAAAAACTTGTTGAAATTTTAGAAGGTTAATATTAAGACATAGTTTCTATTGCCTGTTTATAAGAGGATACAATTTTATATATTTAGTACATTTGGCTTTAATCGAAGACAGCATATCAAGAAAACTGGCAACTTTGCCAGAATCCAGGATACAGATACAGTAGCGCTGCGCTTGGGAGAAGGTGGAAGCAATGTATAGACGAATAAGCAAATACACATACCTTTCTTCTATGGTTGGAATCATCGTTTGTGCAAACGTCTAGTACATGCGCAACAACCCACTAGCTCAAGAGGCACCGACAAACCGACATGTATGACCATAGCAATAACAATAAAATTTCTGACCAAAGCACACAACTGACATCTGGCTCCGTGTTCGCGGGAAATATTTTGCTAAGCCATGAACCCCTATACAAAAGTTATGAATTGGTTCGTGTCTGATCTATTATGGAAAAATTATTTTTATCTAGATCAAAAAATCCTATCGCTTTGACAGTTCGGATCACTGCACATTTAATTGATTTTCGGGCATAAGTCAGATATAAGTGTCATGTAGGTTTGTCGGTGCAAGAGGTACATCTATCCATAAGAAATCCATTTCCGGAGGTTCCACGGCGAAGGCTGCTACCGCTGCCTCTGCCACCGCGGCCGATGCTAAAAAGAGTGACTGGCGCCGGAAGCACGAGGAATTTATCCAAACCATCCGGGCGACCAAGGAGTTGAAAGCAAGGTTGCAAAGACTCATTTCAGCTAAAACAATGTTTTTCTAAATTATGAAATAATTAGATGCCATGATCAAATTTTGAATTGGTAGGATACAAGAAGAGGTTGCAAAGAATGTGTTTGACATATTAAACCTGTTTATTTCACTTCATGAGAGTCACAATCAGCGATTTTTCACAAACTCACTCACTCACTCACTCACTCACTCAGCGATCAGAAAATCGCTGATTGTGACTCATAGAAAGCAAAATTTACAGGTTTTATGTTTCCAACGCATACTTTGTAACCTCTTTTTGTATGTTACAAGTAAAACATGCCATCATACCATCTTTTGGTTTTATTATTCCGAAAAACATTATTTTAGCTGAAATGAGTCTTTGCAACCTTGGTTGAAAGCCCACCTAGTCAAGGGCGGCAAGCTTTCGGACATGCCGTTTCAACCGGACTGCGGTCGAACGACACATTCCCAAGTGCGCCACCATGATCCACAACAAACCGAAACCGACCGCGAAAGCGAAGCGATTCTAAATCATCTAACTAACAGAACTGGTGCAGTGCATTGGGTATTTTTAATCAATTAGACGAGAATGTATTTATTAATTATAATTTTTTTTAATCCGACAGAAATGCAACTCGTGTATTAATTGTATACCAATTTGTAACACTGTGAAAATGAAACGAAAAACAAGCCATCATATTAAATCCTTGCATTTTACCAAAAAAAAAACGAACTATAATTTTATTTGTCAAATACAATACAAAACAGTACACAACAGAAAGAGACATTTTTGAATACTACTGTAGTGACATCTTTTTAAATATATAGGGGAAATGTAGGTAATATCGGCCTAAGTGTCCCTAATTTGGGCCCATACATAAATTCAGAAATCGACTAAATTTTCAATAGCAAACAAAAATATCCATTAGTATCGTCCCAATAACGCGTTCTTCTAGATACAATTGATAAATAGCAGATTTTTAGCGATGAGCCCAATCTTAGGCCAACATTAGAGACATTTCCCCTAAATCTTTATTAAGGAGACTTTCAGCCCTGGGCTGTATCGTCTCCGGTAGCGACATCTGTGTGAGGATAGATGTACCTCTTAAGCTAGTAGAGTAGGCACATGTACAAGACGTTTGCACAAACACAGTCGCTGAGCGGCAGATGACGCGATTGTACATTTCTCATAGCGGACGTATGAGAAATTGGAAGAGTTGCCAGTCTTCTTGATATGTCTTCGCTTCGCTTGAATGCTCTCAATGTGATCTTTAAAAGTCAATGTTTGGTCAAGTACTAATCCAAGATATTTCACTTGACTTGACCAAGAAATTAGAACTCCGTTCACAGTGATTAAGTGACTATTACTAGGTTTCAAAACGGAAGGTCAAGGTTTATGTGGAAATATTATAAGTTGAATTTTGGAATCGTTGGGAGAAATCTTCTATTTTTGTAAATAATAACAGAAAATATCTAACCCGCAGTCTGCTGCAAATAACACGAAGTGTTCATCACAGCTAATTATGGTTTAATTGACTACGATGCAGTGGTCTAAACAGAAACCTGGCTTCGACCGGACGCATCCAACTGTAAACTTTCGGCGGACCACCAAATATTCCGCTTCACAATGAATCGTCCAGTCAATTATCCAGGGAAGGTGGTACACTCATAGCAGTCAAATCTGTGCACCCTTGCTCCTTGGTTTCGTAGAAAAACTGTGACCAGCTTTAACAGGGCATTGTCCGAATTAGTTTGGAGAATCACTCACTGTTCATCTCCGGAAACTACGTTCGCCCTTTATCAGGTTCGAAGCTCCACAAATCACATGCCGTAGTTATACGGAATATTTCAGAGACGTCCTTGAGCGATGAAATTATCATGGAGCTGGGTGATTACAATCACCATCATTTACTCTGGAGTTTAGACGAGGACGGAGCAGGAAGTGACTCTTATCGAAGAAATGCTTGCTAATAGTCTTATTCAGGTCAACCCATTTGTAAACACACATGTAGAGCTGCTTGATTTGGCATTCACTATTAATCCAGACGTTTCTGATCTCCTTGAACCAGCGGTTTCACAGCTTAATGTTGACATCCATCATGGGCCATTCATTCTGAACCTCGATGCGCACTTCAATCTGCCCGATCACCATGATGCTCCAGCAGTATTTGATCTTAAAAACTGTGACCTAACCGCCTTAGATCACATACTTACAGCAGTAAATTGGTCCCTGGTTCTGAAAAGTGATTCAGTGGACGTCATTACAAAGGGTCTGTTCATAAACTACGTAGACAGTTTTTTTGGGATTCTTGACCCCCCCGTCCCCCTGCGTAGACAATTGTCCATACAAAAAATTTAAAATTTGTATGGGCCGTGGATAATTCTCAACCCCCCCCCCCATAAACTGTCTACGTAGTTTATGAACAGCCCCACCAGTTCTACGAAAAAATGCACGCTATTTTCCACGAGTGTGTTCCTCTTCGTAAACCTTTCTCTGGCTACTCTGCGTGGAATACAGAGCTGCGTAACCTCCACAAGGCCCGCTAACGGGTTTTCATCTATAAATCCGAGGACAACCGAAATACTCTTCGTTCATTCGAAACTCAATACAACATACTACTGGCCGCTATCTACGATGAACATGTTCAACAAACACAGTCAAACCTGAGACAAAACCCATCGAATTTCTGGAAATCCGTGAAGTCGCAAAGAATGTGCACTCGCATACTCAACACAGTTGTATAACCGGCAAAACCGCAACATCGCCGGATGAGATCGCAAATTTGTTCGCTATGTTTTGTCAAGGTGTTTATGGGCAAGCTCGCTTTTCCGCTTTCAGTGTTAACGATTGAAATGAATATGACTTGAATTTTTGCTTACTGCGCTTCACGCCAGATGATGTCCATACAGTTTTGACCAATCTTAATGTATCAAAAAGGCCCGGATTTGCTGTATATGCAACCGTTTACTGACCGAGAGGACGCTCTCCGTCATATGTAAAACTGCTGCTATCGTACCAATACACAAATCCGGTAGCCGTAACCACGTCCACAACTATCGTGGTATTTCGCTTGTCCAGTGCGTTGTCCAGCCTTTCATATCGGAGTATCAACAAGGGTTTGTCCAACATCGTTCTACATCTGATGTGCTATACCAACCCATTGTTCCGCGACGTCGAACTTCGCAATCAGGTTGACTCGGTCCACATTGTTTTTTCAAAAGCGTTTGACACGGTACCGTGCTTGTGAAAAACTGAAAGCTATAGGACTCCCCGATTGTCTGGTGTCGTTAAACTCCATTCGTTCGGCATCGTTTTCAATCACTTCCGGTGTACCACAGAGCAGTGCGCTGGGACCATTAATTTTCGTATTGTTTGTAAGTGATTTGTGTGCACGCTGCTGTTTGCCGATGACCTGAAAATCTGCAAAATAATCGTTTCCATCCTCGACTGTATTGTACTTCAGTGTGATATTGAAAATTTATTGTTATGGTGTAGTGAAAATGTATTGTATTGTGTTCATTGTATTGTAGTCATTTGCTTATAATAAGGTAGTGGAATTTAATTGAAGATTTTTTTAAAATAATTTTGCTATTTTTGTGTTAGCTAAGTTTTCGAACAAAGTTTATTTCCCCAAATTGCACTGCAGCTAGGAAATCATCTCGTGAAGGTTATATGAAAATATTCATTCTGGGAAATGTTTCGTGTACGTTACTATCCATTGTAAGAACTGTATTTATTTTTATCAAAGTCACTTTAACACTCCTGGGTCATTCGTGACCGGGGGTGAGATTTGAACTCGTGAGTTTCACGTGAGAGCTATGGATGGTAACCACTATGCCAGGGTTGACTTCTTAGAACTGTCATTACATTTATGGTAAGAAAAAGAGCGGAGGATGTATGAAATCTACCCTTACATTTGATGTTCATGCCATTTGTTGTGAGCATATTTGTTGTGAAGTTTCATAATAAAAAAACATGAAATTTGAGGATTTGTTTTCATAAAATGATGCTTAAAAAAATCCTCTCAGGTTCTTGTTTATTAAAAGGGAATTCAGTCTAAGCATAGGTGTATATGTTGCATGCAAGTTTTTGGTATTATTCTTTGGTATTTTACCTTTTACGTCATGCTCACCAATACCAAACAATGGTTTCAAATCAGAATTAGGTATTCATTTGTTATTTTTTCCTGCTAGGGCGAGAAGGCTGGCCAAAACCTAGAAATTCAACTTAGATAATATATCATTAGGGGCTGTTCATTAACTACGTAGACAGTTTAGGGGGGAAGGGGTTGACAATTATCCACGGTTCATACAAATTTTAAATTTTTTGTATGGGCAATTGTCTACGCAGGGGGAGGCGGGGTTAAGAATCCCAAAAAATTGTCTACGTAGTTTATGAAAAGCCCCTTACGTATATTTTTAATCAAAAGTATAATATCTAAACATACTCTACTTAAGTTTTTAAACAGTTTGGATCAAAATTAAATTTTTGGTGATTATTCAAAGTTGAGCATGTCGAGTGAATTACCATGTTTAAATTTTGCATATTTATATTTATATTATATAATATTATATACGTGATTTGCAATACAAATATTGGAAGAATAGTTTGCAACAGTGCAAAAGTTATTTCAAATGACTTATTAAGTGCAAATTATGTCGATGTTTTCAAATGTTTTTGATAGGGTGAAAAAACTGGCTTCATCAGCAGAACAAAAAAAACTATTTAAAATTTTCGAAGTGTCTAAAGCATATTCATAAACAATCATGAACAATCAAACCTATTGCATGACTTAGGTTTTTTTTTTGTCTACTTTTCAGAAAATATAGCCTTGTTCTGCGCTTTTTCGCGCTAAGGTCCGTTTTTTTTTTTTTAATTTCGGAATGCTGTCTTATGGAAACGCATGATATTTTATTTGCATGAAACATGCAACATCCAAAGTTACAACTGGGCATATTCATCGAAACTCAGGCACTTAATTACTGTCAACAAATGACTCAGAAGTGCACGGAAGTTGCAAATAAAAGTTTTTTCGGTCATATTTTAAGGTTACAACACTTTTTTATCGACGGAAATGAGTGGTAGGTAAGCACAGTTGAAAAAAAAAAGAGATCATATACTAATATTCATGTTTTCGTCAAGAAATATTGTAAAAAAGAAAGGAAATACTGGATGCTGTGCATGACAAAAGCCCTGAAGCGGAATGCAGTTTTTGAATTTGTTCGGTCTCATACAGGTGATTGGTACCACCGACAAACCTACATGAAACTTAAACTTAACTCTTGATCGAGAATCCATAACGGTGAATTCAAATGTGCAGCGATCCCATCTGTCAAAACCATAGAAATTTATTATCTAGATAAAAATAATTTGCTCGGATTACACACGAACCAACTCATACATTTTGTATGCGTGTTCGTGGCTAGAATACACATTTTTCGCGAACACGGTCGCAGATGTCAGTTGTGTGCTTTGATCAGAAATTTGATGGTACTTTGTATGGTCATTGATGTCGGTTTGTCGGTGATG